CCCCAAAACCCCAAAACCCCAAAACCCCGGGTGGAGGTTGGGAAGTTGAAATTTGGGTTTTTAAGGGGATGATTAGGGGAGAGGAAGAGGTTAGAGGGATTTGAATGGGGTTAAGGGGATTTAGAGAGTTGGAGGGGGTTTTTGGGGGAAGGGGCTGGGGTTAGTGGGGGTTTTGAGTGTTTGGGATGGAAGTTTTGGAGGAGAATGGTAAATGTAGGGGTAAAGAGACTTTTTGATATGTGTATCTTTAAATGAGGGTTAATTATTTTATTATGTTGCGTATTAGATTTCTCTTCTCTCTAATTTAGAAGCTAGTAAATCATTCGTATCCCTTATTGAAGCTACTGAAGCAAGTTTTGGAATATTAATAAAATGATTCCAGTTTTCGATCGAAAAAATCTTTCATCAAAAAGACATTCTGAATAAAGCTTATTTTTCACTCAAATTGCAATGAGTGTTTTACAATTCTTAAAGCCCTTATCATCCCCAATTCAAAATCTCTTAATACCAAAGTATCATTGGCTTCTAATAAGATACTAATAGACTCCCTAAATATTAATCCTCTTGATGCTAGACCCAAATTCACCTACTTTTGACTGAGCCTGGCTCTTTATAAATTTCCTACAACCTTGCTCTCTTCAGTTTCTAATCTCACTCTAGCGATGACTCCAAATGCTGCCAAGAAAGGCCTATTACAAGCCAGAGTTCTTACTCAGACAGCTACAATGCTTACAGCTAATAAACTTAGGTTTTCTCCATTTCTACAAAAGATGCAGCTAACAAAATTTATGAAGAATGTTGTAGGGTAAAAATTATTAGAGCATTTTAGCGAATCGAAAACTTAATTCATAGAGATCTATTAAAACAATAGTTGATAGTGAGGTTTTAATGGCTGAGATATGTGGTATGAAATTCGGCTAACTTATAATCAACTTTAATCAGGGATGTATACCCTTACCTTTGGGTCTTTTTGACTTAAATTTAGTCCTTCCTAGGCATTAGATCTATTTCTCAATTGTCTTAATAAAGATGACGCCCTCTCTATTCCTGCAGTCTCCATAAGTTTGGTTAACTCCGTACACATTCTATTGCTCCTCTCATCTTCTTGGCCATAAGATTGTTATCCCTTTTCAAGGTTAAAATATCAAGAAACTTACCAAAAAAAGACTTGGCCCACTAATCTTCCTATTTTCTCCCTTCGGAAAGTACCATCCACTCTGTTTGAGCAGTTTTTCATTTGCTTTTGGAGAATTTTGGCTGCCCAAAAAGTGAGGGGGTTATTTCTAGAGATTTAATGGGCTTTGGGGCTGTGGAAAAGTGGGGTCTTGGTTATAGTCTGAGGGTGTAGAATGTGAAATTAATTGGAAATTTTTTGAAATTTTTGAATTTTGAGAAGTTTTAGATGAGTTTAGAAAATTAATCAAATGTTAATTTTGAGAGAAATGGAGACTTTATTTCATGCGAAGTAGACACTAGATAATATACTGCAGATATATTTAATAAATTTTATTTCTTCAAGAATATATAGACGTGTTTATGGTTCACTTATAAATATTCCAAATTCCAAATTTTCTTCACTCAAATTCTCGTATCTTAAAATGGTAGATGATGTATAGACTCTCACAACTTGACAATGAGTTAAAAGAGAAATGAAATAGATATTATTTATCTGTTTCCTTCTTCTTGTCACTCTAATATTTTCTTTCACCTTGTTAATTTCGTTATCTACTTAATCATCGGTTTCCAAAATATTCAAAGTCTTATCACTAAAATTATGCCCTAGTCTTAGAGGATGATCAAGGTTAGAGTATGGCTATCAACCTTGATAAAATTGCTGCCTTCTCCTTTTTCGGTTCTTAGCACTAATTTGAAATGTTATTCATGGGATCAGAGTATTTTTCCCTTAATGAATCATTTTCCGCAATTGTCCACATTTTCCATTTTGATGGATGCTGTAAAACAAAGATTTAAGAATTAGGGTGTCTCTTTAATCACTCTAAATTTCTGAAAAAGCTTCTAGAGTTGCATCGATTGGCAAGCTTTTGAATGTCTTCATTTCTTTGATTATTTGCTTGGTATGTCTCAGAAATTAAGAAGTCGAGGAAGTTGCTATCCAAGGAAATTCTGAAATAACAAGTCTAAAAAGATATGCCTTTATACATTGTCACTTTCATTTTCACTTCCATTTTTGGCCTCTATCAGATTCTCTCGATTCGAGTGGGTTGTGATAAGGGTTCGTATGATTATTGTGAAGGTTGGCCCATAAAATTAACCTCAATACTAGAGATATTTATGATATTGTAGGATATTTCTGTTTGGGATTCACCGATAATATCAAAAATATGTCCTCCAACTTCACCAAAAAGTCTGTATCATTTAACTTAAAGTCTACCTCAAGCTCTTTCTAGAGCAAATAAAGCTCTGGATAACTCTAAAAGATCTTAGTATATCTCATTAAATTATTGAAAGTGGGAAAATTGGTCTTTGCTTCTTCAAAGCCTAGTTGATCGAAAGAATAACGATGGGAGAACATTAATAACATCAGTAAAGAAAATATGATCACTTATCTAAAGCCCTTCTTACCTTGGTTAATGATAAAAACTTTTCTTAATTCAGTGAGATAGATTCTCAAAGAATTTCTTTCTGTATAAGCTTAAGTTTTACATCACAAAGAAAAAATATAGTCAAAGAAATTTGATGAAACACTACAGCATAAAACTTAATGAGATGAGACTTTCTCGTCGGAATTGAGTTTCAGAAGTTTAGGAAATTTCTCGACCCCAGCAATCTAGAAGCCATCAGTAATGGATATGATTTCAAGCATTGCCAAATACTTTGAATTTAAAGCTTAAAATCACCAGAACATCAATAATTTTAACATCAGGAGAAATTACAGGTATTTCAGCTGTTTACCATCAGAGAAAGCGGCTTAAAAATAGCCAACAACATAGAGAGGTGAATCTCTCCTCTACAGTTTGCAAATGCTTGTCTGTAGGTGAACAGGAGGCATTATTAGGTCAACAAAATCTCAGGGTCTGATACATTTTCAAGGTCACCAAATGATTCAGGAATCTTTGAATCTATGCTCAGAAAACTATTTAAAAAGTAAAAATTTAATTTTCATAAAAATAAAAATGAATTTTCCTTCGTTTATCAACAACCCAAATTACACTTCCCTTCCAACATGGAGATATTCAGACATCATGCAAGAGCTCAGCTCAGTGTACTGAATCGATGGAATCACAGAGGGACTTCTTGGACCTCAATATTGCTGATTTAACTCTTGTCAACAAGATTTGTTACCTGTGGCATCTGTCAAATCTCCCATGGACCAACAGTAAGCTATTCATGAATTTGCACTGCTTTCAACTTAACATCTTTTCGTTCATTAATTCTGACATGGTCTTTAGAAGCCTGATGCCTCTGGCTAATAAAATTGACTTCGCATCGAAGGCATCTGCCTTTAAACGAGTTCAGAAGAAATCCCAGAAAAGTCTATCAGAAAGGGAAACTTTGTCTGAAGAAAGTGAAGAATACAGAGTCAAAGATTACCAAGAGAAAGAACCTACCAAACACAAAGGGTTTGATATTAGTGACAAGCTAATAGCTTTGAAGACTAGTCTCTTGGAACAAAGCATAAATGGGTTTACTTCTTCACAAAAGAAAGCTAAGAGCGCGAATAAGAAGTATCTTAAGCGGAGATCTAAGTACATCGGTGTCTCTAGGAACAACGCTAATTGGCAAGCACTCATTAATGTGAATAAATCTAAGAAGTACATTGGAACGTTTGCAGATGAGCTTGAAGCAGCCAGAGCTTATGATTTGTATTCAGTAGCAATAAGAGGGAAAGAAGCTTCTCTAAACTTCGACTACAGTGCTGAAGAGATATTGGAAAGAATCGAGTATTTTCTTAAGCACAAATGTGTAAAATGTTAATCTTAAAATTAACCTTTTTTGGAAACCTATTCACCAAGTTTAGCTTCAATTTCTTTCTGAGGCCCTGGGGTTTTGGGGTTTTGGGGTTTTGGGGTTTTGGGG